TATCTGTAATCGTGGTTGGGACACCAACTGATAGGCCATCGTGTTGTTGTTCGGTCCTTAAATGTTTCACTTTTACTACCTTCAGCAAACTCAAAGTACTGAAATGAGAAATAGTACGGTCGAGTGCATTCGAGTTCGAAGTAGCGCTTTTATTGATCGTCTTGGCTGACTCTGATAAAGCAGACTCAGGATTGAAGGGGCTTAGATAACTGGGCCCTGAATAGCATCGGCAGGCCGTGATCTGCAGTGACAGCGGGACAGACAACGGCGTCCATAGCCGTCGAAAGAACAATAGTAATGACAGGCCCCGAGGGAAAATTAACATCACGACCTAAGTTATTTAGGATAGGCCAACGTAGGGAATTAGCATAAGGTGCAGCAGAATTATTATGCCCATTCATCGTCATAACCGCGAGAAGACGATTATAATATTTAAAAAAAATAATTTCCCTGAATTTATAGAGTCATGAGTAAATTCAAGACATTCGGTAAAATTAGAATAAATAAAGTTTAGAAATTGAAAGGCAAAACGCATGAAAAAAGTCCCAAAAATGAAAAGTATACCTCGTGGCTTCAACAGATCACAAAACAACACAGACAAAGAACATAACTATAATTCCGGAGACGTAGAGCCTTTGTATTCATCTGCTTGCTTGCGCATTAAGTCTATGCATGGGCCCAGGAGACGCTCAAAACTCTCCACACCAAGGACTGCCAGGAGCACATCTGTCTCTGCATAGACACTGGCTGCTCGAGGTTTACTACTTAGCAGTGCGAGTTCACCAAAGTATCCGCCTTTTGTCACCTTAGACAATTCCTTTTCAATCCCGTTTTCCTCTCGCATTACCCGGACCGTACCATCCATGACGAAGAAGATTTCAACGCCCGGATCACCCTGTTTGATTATGCATTCGCCCTTTGGCACGTTACGTCGTTCCAGTGAATCGGCCAAAGACATGCGCTGGTAGGGTGTCAGATCTGTTAAAATCTTCACGGAGTGCAGCAGAGAGACGAAGTCGCGCCTTCTTTTAGCGGCGTGACCAAGAACTAATTTACGGAAAGAAGCTCGAGTCAGTGCCCATAGTTGGCCATCTGACACAGCAGTGACTGTCGCACTTCTCGGAGCATTATACATCAGAGCCAGCTCACCAAAGTAACCGACACCATCGTATTCTTTGACAACTTTTTCCTCCCCGGATTCATCATGTATTGTCGCCTTATATTTGCCTGATGTGATAATGTAGAAGTTATCACCATCGTCCATTTCCTGAATAATGTCTTCACCTGCTGTAACCATTCGCTCAAACATTGCGTTAACGACATCATCCAGCTCTTTATCCGAGAGTTCGTTAAAGAGGACGATATTTTTGCACACTTCTTTCAAATGCGCTGCTGTTTCAGCGGGCTTCTCGTGGAAACTAAGCTTTCTGCCAACGCCGCCACTTGTATCATTTTCATCGTCCTCTGGATTATATGGTTCTGCAGCCACACTAGCTCTTCGGTTCGTGAATCTGGAGTTTTTCATTTGGCTTTCCATCCTCTTCTGAAATTCGGAGTCCGAATCCTCGTCGTCTACCGGTTTTATCGTTAGTTTTGACTTTGAACTGTTTCTATCCATTTTGAAGGTGGAAGTGGTACTAGATTTCTGCGGTTGTGAGGGTGGTCGGTTCTCAGGTGGTCGGTTCTCAGATGGTCGGTTCTCAGGTGGTAGAGAGTTAACAATTCTGGTGAAATATTCGGCACCAAACTTTTCTAAACTCTCCGGCTTTGCGCGTAATATAGCCACAGTAAAGTCCTGCAGTAGTTTCACAAGTCCTTCGGGCACCTCGGGCGCTGGCATTCTACCCAGTCATGCAAACTCACCTTGCTTTGGGCCCGTGGCGGTGAATAATTTTTAAATGGCTGCAATGGCTGCATTTATTGATCCCTCCGGCGAACGCGGTACATTCAACGCCACGCGTGACCATCGGAATGAGCAATCAAACATAAGGTCCGCCATTAAGACACTTCTAAGTCTACAGGCTGTAAGAGTTAGTCTTTTTAAATATTTTTAAAAGTTTATAGGCATTCCTCAAATTAAAGCAAACGATAGGCTATTGAAAATGTTATTGAGAAGTGGGTAAGCATAACTTATATGGTCCTTTGACGAAGACATGAGAACAAAAAGCGCCTGCAATTCAAGCAGCTTTGCGCCAAATTCCAGGAGAAATAGGAGTACTTTATAGTTGGGGAAAAAGTTGCTTAGTCCTTGGTTTTAGGATAAGGTTAGCGTTAACTGTATTGTTAAAGAAGTATTAGGATAAGTATTAACACCGCTGTTTAGATTTATGTTAGGGTTCATGTTAAGCTTTAGATCTGGGAATATTTACACTTCCTAGAATTATTTGCACGGCCTCCTTTAAGACTTAGGCGGGACGTTCCTATATCCACATCCTTTTTTGAGGGCCATATAAGTAATCCTTGGGAGAAACAGACTACTTAGAAACTATGATCATCTGCAGTAGTCGTCAGGTATTCGTTGGCCTAGTAGAAGTCAAAGTATTGGCGAGGAGTAGAAGGAAAGGCGCCGAGAAGTTCCATCATAATAAATGGGATACATGCCTACTAAGTTATGAACCCACGTTGGTATTTCAGATCCTCTTCCCTGCTACACAGAAGTCTCCAAAAATCCAGAACATGTAATTATTAGTCCTGGAAGCACTCGCGATGGGCAATTAACCTCGCGTCGCTCCGGCAGTGAAGTGAAAATAATTACCTAATCAGACCTTTCTCTCCCATGCCAAGCCGCATAAAGAAGTTAACTAATTAGGATGTCATGCAACCGCTACACGGCTGGCGGCTAGTGGATCGGCCATTATTGAGGGCAAAAATGTGAAAATGTTCGGCTCTATGGTCTGGAAAAAGAGAATTTCCGCGAGCATACAGCCACATATTCTTCAGACATGCCTGGGTTAAGTTCTCCCAGCTAAGTTACATATAAATATTTGGCATTTCAAAGCTGCAGTTCAATATTCTTGGCATTGTCTGTCATCAAATAAGGTTGCAATAGCTGCGCAGCAACATGTTGGAACCTGCTGCAGGCCCCAAACTTAGCGTGGCCAACGGCCACCTGGCTACCGGCATTTTCCGAACCTCCTCTCTTCCTTCCCCCTCTCCCTAACCTTTTACACTTTACCCCCCCATATAAATGTAATGGCCTGACGAGAATTTATTGAAAGTATACGTATGCTCGCCAATTCTTCTTCCGATTTCTGTGGTGGGAATTTTCGCAACCTTAAAATTGTCTGTTGAAGGGGGTGCATGTAGGTGACCATTTACAAGACAGCAGCGTCGTGTTCGTAACACTTCAACAGCGTTTTTGGATGATAATGATGATGATGATGATGATGATGATGATGGCCTACCTCTACCGGACATTCCCATTGACTCTGTAAGTGATGGGTTGGGCAGAGCTTGAGGTGTAAAGTACATAGAAGAAATCCCTAGTTTTGGTATCTGAAGTAATTATAGCCACATTACTGTCACCATAGCATTCCACAAATGCCAGTTTGTTTGAGGATTGCAGTAACAGTTCCATCCTCCTGCTTAGAAGGGTCCGATATTTGTCTCGTGATTTATAGAAAACATTTCATTCAAGTTATTTTGACAAAAACAAAGTAATATTAACACTCGTTGATGAATGTTCACTGATCGCTAAGGGATATCACTCGTCCTGTTCCTTTTTTGCCTTGGACCTTTTTTCTCGGATACTAACAGCAGCCATAGCAACTAGTAGTATAGGCCGATAGT